AAAACCTGGAAGAAGAACCATCAGAGAGATCAACTCACACCTCCAGAAGAGCTTTAACTGCATCCCAGCTGAGGCGGAGGACATTGAGTTCGAGTGGGCCATGCACCTCAGTTGTTGAGGAAGCTGCCTTGAGCTGTGGCCACAAGGTTGTCAGAGCTTCTCGTGATGGCCATCCACGAACTCAGTGGTGGACACCCCAGGTTAGGGAGGCTGTCAAGCTGAAGAAAGAGTCCTATCGGATCTTATTGGCTGAGGCAGCTGAGGAATACCGGAGGGCCTGTTGCTGAGGCAAAAGATAGAATGTGGGAGGAGTTCGGCGAGGCCTTGAATAAGTCGGCTCCGAGGAGGGGCACTGGAGAAGCAAGTACGATCACTGGTCAAACCTCAGATCCAGGAGGAACAATGCGGGTTTCATCCTGGCTGTGGAACACTGGACCAGCTCTTTACCCTCACTAGGGTCCTAGGGGTCATGGGAGTTTGCCCATCCAGTCTATATGTGGGTTTAAAGGAGGGTAAGGTGGGTTTAATAACTAAAACCCAGACTGTAAGCAAACATGTTACTGTCAGTCCAACAGTGACTGTAGGAGAAACTGATTTCAAGACGTGTCCAGAAAATGTTGCAGGAAACTGGTTCTGACTGAAACAGATATTTGTGCTCGTGGTGAGACAAAAACAGTTTCACATTAGGGGTGTAAATCACCAGCTTTACCACGATACAATATTATATTGATTTGTTTTTATGACGATACAATTTTTCTCGATATCACAAAGTCTGTCACGATACGATTTCGATTCATAAGTCTGCGCTCGATATATTACGTTATCAAATGCCCATCTCATTTACATATAAATAAACTTACAAAAACAATTCAAATATGATTTAGCCATTTTATTTCTGTTATTACAGGCACCAGGCATTAAAAAAACAAAAACATTTTTTCTTCATTAATGAAAAAATCAAAATAAATGACCTGTTCAGTATAGTTTCACATTTCTCATGTTTAAGTGCATTTTTTAAACCAATTTACTTAAAAGTGCCCTGATTATCTTTCAGTTATAAAGAAACAAAAATAGATATTGAGCTTACATAACATGGCTATCAATGCCGTGTTTCTTCTTCAGGTGAACGGACAAATTTGTTGTTTCCTGAGTATTTGAACTCACACTGGCACCTGTTGCATACAGCATGAGTTCTGTCTGTTGAGCCGTCCTTCTGTTGGAATCTAAATATTTCCACAGAGTTGATTTAAATCCAGCAGGAGAGAGAATTTAATTATTTGTGTTTTCTGCCTCGTCTGCCATGTTGCTGAGGCGGCCACAGAGCACAGCCGCGCACGGAAATGGTGACACAGACGTGCCTTGAGAATTTCAAAATAAAAGCGTATTTTATAGATGACGATATGAATTGATGTTTTGGTTTTGCCACAATATAATTGAATCAATCATTTAATCAATATATCATTTTAAATCGATGTGTTGTTACATCCCTATTTCACATGTGACTTTAATATTACCTAATATTTAATATTATCTAATACTCTGCCTGTATTAGTACGCAGGAGCTGCTCAGTAGGCATGACGTGACCTACTCTAAGATTTTAGACCTCGTGGCCCCGCTAAAAATCAGGTGACCAAAGCATGCACAACACCCCTGGTTGAACGCGACCACTCGTGCAGCCAAACATCTATGCAGGAGAGCTGAACGTAAGTGGAAAAAGGACAAATTACAAGTTTCTTTTATTATGTTAAAAACGTGTTTGAAAGACAATCAGAGCATCGTTAGATTTCTGTGTCAAGGTTGGTAATAATGTATCCGCCTCATTACCTCTTTCTTGCGGGGTCCCACAGGGTTTGATTCTTGGACCCCTTCTGTTCTCACTTTATTTGCTCCCACTGGAGTCCATCCTGACGAAACATGGTCTTTCATTCCATTGCTATGCTGATGACTGCCAGATCTACCTGCCTCTGAAACCAGCAAGTGTTTGCTCCATTCACCCTCTGTTAAAATGTCTGGACGACATTAAGGCCTGTATGGCTTCAAATTTCTTAAGTTTTAACAATGAGAAGACTGAAGTCATTGTCTTTAGCCCTAGCTCAACTGCCGCCACTGATCCTGTCAACCTGGACTCTCTTCAGCCATATCTTAACGAGTCTGGTAAAAATCTCGGGATGGTTTTAGACTCTGACTTCAAGTTTGACAAACAATTCAACTCTGTTCTGCAGAAAAGCTTCTTCCAACTCAGACAGGTAGCTAAGCTCAAGCCAGTGTTGTCCAGACCCGACCTTGAGAAACTAGTCCACGCCTTTGTCATGACCCGATTGGACTATTGCAATGCACTCTATGCTGGGATCAGCCAGGCCTCCATCTCACGTCTTCAGCTCATCCAGAATGCTGCTGCTCGGCTTTTAACCGGAACTCATAGGTCTGAACATATTACTCCAGTTCTGTCCTCCCTTCACTGGCTCCCTGTTCGTACGAGGATAGTCTTTAAAATTTTTCTGTTGACCTTCAAATGCTTAAATGGCCTCACACCCCTTTACCTCTCTGATCTTCTGGAACCTTACGTTCCCTCTCGGGCCCTTAGATCATCTGATCAGCTGCTTTTGGCTGTTCCAAAAACAAGACTGAAGCTCAGAGGAGATCGGGCTTTTTCAGTCATGGGCCCCAAACTCTGGAACAACCTGCCCCCCAACATCAGGCAGGCCACCTCCATTCCTCACTTCAAATCCCTGCTTAAAACTCATCTATTCTCTCAGGCATTTCACACAATGTAAATTGATCTAGTGTTTTTTTTTTTTAATCTGTGACCCTATGTTTTAAATGCTTTTTATTAATTCTTCAATTATTATTATTAGTGTATTGTATATATACAGTATATATACAGTATATATATATATATATATATATATATATATTCTCTTTAATTTTACTCATTGATTCTTGTTGTTAAGCACTTTGATAATAAGTTCTGTTTTAAATGTGCTCTATAAATAAAGTTGACTTGACTATTTGTAAATGAGTCCTCGAGGCTCAGTGGGATTTGCCTGTCTAAATAAAGGTTGAATGAATGAAAAAAATATCATCCATCCATTCATTCATCCATGCATCCATCCATGCATCTACCTATGCATCCATCCAACCTCCAATGCATCCATCTATCGATCATCCATCCATCAATGCATTCATCCATCCATCCATCCACCCATCCATCCGTGCATCCTTCCATCCGTGCATCCTTCCATCCTTCCACCCATGCATCTATCAATACATCCATCTATCCTTCCATCCATGCATTGATCCATCTATGCATCCACCCATCCATGAATCCCTCCATCCATCCATCCATCCATCCTTAATCCATCCATCCATGAATCCATCCATCCATGAATCCATCCATCCATGCATGCATCCAACAATCATCCATCCATCTATTCATCCATCCATGCATCCATCCATTTATACATTTTATCCATCCATCCATCCATCCATCCATCCATCCAAGCATCCTTTCATGTATCCATCCATCCTTCTATGCATCCAATCACCTTTCCACCCATCCTTCCTTCCGTGCATCCATCCATGAATCCATACATCCATCAGTGCAGCCATCCATCCATCCATGCATCCATCTACCCATCCATCCATTCATCCAGACACCCATCCATCCATCCACCCACCCATCCATGAATCCATCCATCCATGCATCGAACAATTATCCATCCATCTATTCATCCATCCATGCATCCATCCATTTATACATTTTATCCATCCATCCATCCATCCATCCATCCATCCATCCATCCATCCATCCATCCATCCATCCAAGAATCCTTTCATGTATCCATCCATCCTTTTATGCATCCAATCACCTTTCCACCCATCCTTCCTTCCATGCATCCATCCATGAATCCATCCATCCATCAGTGCATCCATCCATCCATCCATCCATCCATGCATCCATCTACCCATCCATCCATTCATCCAGACACCCAACCATCCATCCATCCATCAACCAATGCATTTATCCACCAATGCATGCACCCACCCATCCATCCATCCATCCATCCATCCATCCATCCATCCATCCATCTTCACACGTTTCTTCCTTTCTGGGTCAATGAGTTGCAAAGACTTCAACTGTTAATTCAACAGATTTGTAATCTTTGTGATAAATCTTGTTGATGTGATAAATCTTGTTGATATAGTGTGGTGGATTATTTTGTGCAACTTTCAGGAAGTTTACTTTGTGAATTTATTTAATGAATAAAGCAGCAAAAATCAATTCAATAAATAAATAAATAAATCAAATGCAAAATTGTACATGATAAATTGACAGAGTGGGAGAAAATTACAAGCAACATTAAATATTGGAATGATTTGTTAGAGTGAATGATTTTATTCTTGTGTGTGTGTGTGTGTGTGTGTGTGTGTGTGTGTGTGTGTGTGTGT